CCAGAATGCAGCAGCCCCACCCCGCGCCAGAAAAGATGGAGACTGCTGCCACCGAACAACCAAAACGCTAAAACCGAAGGAGCAAGAAAACTCAGCAACCCAACCCCCAGAGGCAAATGCCAAAAGGAAAAAGAGCCGACGAAAAAACACACTGGAACCGAAGGGGCACTACCAACCGAGGAGAAGACAGAGCACGCTGACCAGAGACCAGGATGGTGCAAGCGGCGCATGAACAGGCTGGAGGTGAAACGACGCACGAGACAGCTTACTAACGGTGCAGAAGCAACACCAAGACCGAAAGCAAGCCGAAGCGGCTCCGCCATCGCCGCACGAAAAGAGGTGACAGTATGTGGCAAGACGACGGCCCCCAACCCCCACCAGAAAACCAAGCCGAGAGTAAACCAAGCTAACAAGAGTAACCACCTAAAAAGAGACAGGAAAAGGAAGGACCGCCAAAATACCCCATACTGCCGCCAAGAGAAGCATACAGGTGGGACACCTACCACAAAGCCACCCTACCACCAACCTGAGGCGAGACCGCGAGGCAGAACATAAGCAGCCCCGACAAGGCCCCTCCGAGCACAGGAAAAGGCGGAGCCGCGGGAAGATCTCGGGCGCGACCACTGAAACCCAGGCGGCACAAGGAGATGGAACGTCTACCGAACAGAAAAACTCCCCAAAGCAAGCAAGCCCGCTAGGAGTTCAGAAACGACGGGTCAGACGCGAGACATCGCAGGACCCAAAAAAACCAACCGGCAGGGCAAGCCAGGAAACCAAACTAGGTGGAAGGATTGCCGCCAGAACAGTACCCGAACCAAGGGGTACGAACAACTGCAATAGACCGAGACAAAGAAGCACACCACAGGACACAGGCTGAAAAATGCCCAAGAAGCCCAGGAACACACGCAGAACACCCCTGCTGCAGAGGAGGCAGGATGAAAGAGCAGAAGCACAAAAACCCCAGGAAAACAACCAGGGGTGGACAATCAGGCAGGGACAGAAAAACCCCACGCACATGAGAGGGCCAAACCAGGTACCCGAAGACCACGAAAAACAACAAGCAAACCCCCATACGCAAACCCTAGGCAAAAAACAGCAGCAAAGTGTCACACCACAACCGAACACAGGAACAAGGACACGCCATCGCGAAACACGGTACCAATGCACACGTGCAGTAGCAGCAACAGGCACCACCACAACATGCAACATGTAAATAGCAACTCGCTTCTGCAAAGGCAGAGAATGGAGCAGGCAGACCCCAGACAGGGCCAATGGAGACACGACAAAACCCAGCAAGCCCAGAAACCTGCACACCAGGCGACCGATGGCAGAGAAACCCCGCTCGATACCTGCTGGATGGGGTACTGGGAGCTCATTTACACCCTAAGCCCAGCCCGAAGCCAGGCTTGACTGGCCAGAGGGTGGCCCACCAGGCAGCTGCTTGGAGCGGCCCGCAGGCCCACATACCCCCACAACCAGGATGGGCCGGAACTTCTATTCGAAAACAGGCTAGTGTGCCCCGGAAGTCCACGGACGTACCAGCAATAAGGCTTATGCTTGCAAGTAGGTCGTGTAACAACCGCAGACCTCTGATGGTTATACAGTGTTCCCCAATTGTGCTTATAGCACCACTGCACTCCACTGGTACTATCCCGCAAGTTCTACCAGATGGGCGGGACCCAAGAGCCAGAGCTCAAATCCTGCAAGCACAGCCAGGAGCCATACCAGGTGAGTACAGAACCAACCCCACAACCCCCACACCTCACAACATGAAAAAAGGTGGGTCCCCTGAATGACTCTAGCATGGGTTGGACATGCACATGAGGGGAACAGGAAGGGTTGAAAAAGGGACAGTCACTGGTGTGCAAACGGTCTCAGTCGTACAAAAATACACCTATATAAAGACAGGTATATAAACAACACCGCATCCAGCGCCCCGCCAAAAGACGCCAGACCGCAGAAACTTGCCTGGCGAACGGTGGCACAAACGTGACACAACTCAACCGCGCCCAGAAGAACCTGGGAGCACCGCCAGGTGAAGACGCCAGAGCCGGACCCGGCCGGACCCGCAGGAGAGCAGGGTAGAGGCAAAGGAGCCGGCCCACACCCATGACACAGGGAAAACCGCGTCGTCCTCCCCACAACTGGGAACCAGGACACCCCCGGAGCGAAGGGGCACATACCGCAGCCAAGGAGAAGAGCGAGAGTCGAAACACTTTGGCAAAAAGGGCGCAAAACACCAGCACTGAAACACCGCCCAGACCAAAACAAACGCCATGACGCATGCACATGACACGCTGGCCGAACCGCACAACCCTCTCTGCGGGAAGGCGCCAACCAGGACTACTGCACTAGAAAAGTAGCCAAAAGAGGAAGCAGGAACAATAAAACCAGCCAACGAAGCAAAGACAGAGCCCAAAAAGGAACCCAACCGGGCTACAAGCAGCCCAACAAAGCTACAAGTAGCCCACCAGGGCTACAAGTAGCCCAACCGGCCCACAAGTAGCCCAATCGGGCCACAAGTAGCCCAATCGGGCTACAAGTAGCCCAAAACGGCGACAAGGACGAGGAGCTGACAGACGTTCCAATAATGAGGGAAGTAGCGAAAAACTTTACCGATCCCTTCCCGAAGGGAGCCGGTTAGCCAAGCGGAAAGCACGCGGGACTTGTGATCCTGTGGTCCTGGGTTCGATCCCAGGCACCGGCGAGAAACAATGGGCAGAGTTTCTTTCACCCTATGCCCCTGTTACCTAGCAGTAAATTAGGTACCTAGGTGTTAGTCAGCTGTCACGGGCTGCTTCCTGGGGGTGGAGGCCTGGTCGAGGACCAGGCTGCGGGGACACTAAAGCCACGAAATCATCTCAAGATAACCTCAAGATATCCCTTGAGAACACAGAAGCCAACACTAGTCCCAAAGGTACACAAAGGCGCAGGCGCACCCGAGACCAGAAGTCACATAGAACCCCAAGAACGGGGAAACATGACGAAAACACCGTCCCAAAAAAGGGTGGGAGGAAACATCCACCCACAGGACGGAACCAACCGACTCAAAGGCCAAGGAACCGAGCCCGGGGAGGGGCCGACGCCCAACAGCACATACGGTGAGTGGGGAGGAAAGACCCCACTCCGCGTAACCACAAGCCCCGCCTAGAGGGTGATAAAAAAAAAACCACGGGGCCCAACGGGGCCAAGGCTCCCCAAGTCAGCCCCTCCCCAGCCCCGGGAACCTACACGACAGGCCCCGGGGCCGAGCCGTTCCCCCAAAGCCCCGGCCATACAAGAAAACCGGGGCAGCCGTGAAAACACTAAGGAAGGGAGCCCACTGGCAGACTCTTACTACACGGCTGGAGGAACAGGCTCAAATGCCCCCGTCACTACCCCGGAAGGGGAATTGCCCGAGTCTCAACACCATCAAAACCCCGCCCCGAACCTACAGACGGTAAGGAGCCGGATGCAGGCAGGAAGGGTGATCCAGGGAAAAGACAAGGGGGCGTGGATGGAACCGAAGCAACCAACACCCCCAAGTCCCAAAATGAACCAAAACGGGGCAGCCCCGGGGCTCCCGGGGAGTAAACCACGAGAACGTTGCCACCACCAAGGCTCAAGTGCAACGCCCCTGCTGCCCGCACCCGCTTAGTCAGCACAACCAGGTAACCGAGCTACAACGAGCAACCAAACTCGCAGGACTCTGGGTCGAAGGTGTCACCGATCCCACAGGCAGCAGACGGAGGCAAACCAGAGTCACCCAGAGACAAAGGGTGAGAGCAACCCTCAAACTCGCTGGAAGCGAGGGGGGACTCTGGGGTCACATCCATCGGACCCGTGCGCCCCCAGGGGTTTCCCAGGGTCCTGAGCGTTTACTATAAGAGGACTCGCGCTCAGGTAATCCCAGGCAGGGTACTGCTAACCGGCACCCAAAGCTACCAAACAACTTTCTAAGAGCTGAACCCATGGGACGTGTACACTCACGGGAACCTAGCAGGGGGTACCACCAGAAAATACTCAGAACACAAGGGGCAAGAACGTAGGCAGACCCCCCCCCCACCAGGCAGATAAACAAAAAGAAAAAGAAAACCCCGCAAGAAGACAGCATACCCAAGTGGAACAGAGCCGGCCACCATGATTGGTAAAGACAAGCTGCACAGTACCCTGCACCCCACCAGTGCAAAAACTGCCCCTTACTCTAAAGCGAACAAGGGAGACAAACCACCCGAGCAGACAAAGAGCGGCCGAAAACCAAGCAGTAAATGGCCTAGCAGGGGCAGGACCCAAGGAACTTGTGGAAGGTGGCCCCAAGCCCCAAGGGCAGTACTTACAGGGCACCTAGGGAAGGGAACCCTAGGCGCATGCAGTCCAAGTACTGGAGATTCACTCCCGGCTCACACACCACCTGGAAAACAGACACCACACTCTGGGTACAGTGCTGAAACAACCACTGGAGCCGGAGCATATAACCGGTGCCTATAGCATCAGCCGAAGAACTGATAGGTGGATTGCCGGCGTGGGAGGTCTGGGGTTCCCCATTCCCCTTCCCGGGGAGGGGGAGCTGCGCAGACAGTGGCGCGGTGACGTATGACGTCATACTAGTTTGCTTGTTTTCTGTTGAGGAGTTCTATCCACTTGTTCGGCTTTAGGTAGCAATTTTCACCAGAATAGGGGTTTGTTTTGGAATGCTTACCTTTCTGGATGCTTGACCTGGTCGATGGCAGACATAGAATGCTTCCAACAACACGGGGGTTTCTATAGGCCATTGCTTCCCTTGCCTCTCTGAGGGGGGCCAGGCTCTGGCCGTGGTCCCTGGTAGGCCCTAGAACTCCATACACATGACTGATGCCAAAGTCTGACATTAGCATATCAGCCTGGTAAAGCTCCGGGGAGCCGACGGGGCTCCCCCCAGAAAAAAATTACTTATGATCTGTTTATGATATGGATAAATAAGTACAGTACCATAATAATTGCCTCCTAAAACAATTACAAATTGCTAAATATTTCCATATTACCTGTGGATTCTTAGTAACCGGACTTGATATGATGGCACCAAGTCTTGACAGAACTTGCTTGCAGGTGAAACGCTGGAGAGGATCCAACACCAGCAATCCACGAATCACATCCTTGGTAGATTCTTTAACAGGCTTATCCCCTCTGAGAAAAGACAAAAATTAAATTATTTCTTAACCACTGTGCTGCGCCGAGTTTATTGTGAAATTCCCCCGGTGCGCATGAAATAAAGTGTTCCCCCAAAATTCTTTTTTTTTCGTAAAATGATAAATTCCCTTCCCTGAACAAGTCGATGTAAAAATAAATACTTTGGCTGTGGGGACGTGAACAAGGTGTGCTGTGACGTCATCAGGGCCAGGTCGCCCGTGCGTGAATCGCCCAGACACGGTCGCGTGGGCCATTCAAGCACCGGGTGTTGCCACAAATATATTTTCAATTATTTGTCTTATGTATTTCCAGTGCGGTTTTATTTGTTTTTCTGTGGGGAGCTCCTATGGCTCCCTGGCGCTTATTGGGCTAATGTATGTTATATTAGACCGGGACATTAGCTAAGGAGTTCAGACCTACCAGGGACCAGTGCCAGAACCTGGTCCATTTAGAGAGGTTTCAGGAGCAATGGCCCTGGAAAACACCCTTGTGGTTGGGGTTTTCCTTATCTGCCATCGACCGGGGTTTGTACCCAGAAAGGTAGGCATAACAAAACAAATCCCACATGGTAAAAACTAAAACAAAAAACCGAACAGAGAGGTAGAAACTCCCTACAATCACAAGGAAACAAGCAAACAAACAAACATCACCCTTTACTGCCGCGCCGATCGCCCGCGCAGCCCTCCCCGCCCCGAGAGGGGGAGGGGGGAGCCCGGGACCTACCGCGCCGGCTGCCTAGCATCAGTTCGTAAGCTAATGTCAACCGAGATAGACGCTTCTCTGGCCTCAGTTTCCTAGGCGGTGTTTGCCTTGTGTGGCATTCACTGCCGTGTGTTGTGTTGCATGGTGGCCAGGAGTACCTCATCAGTGCTGGGGCTGCATGCGCTTAGTGGCTTACTTCCATAAGCGCGCTGTTAGTACTGCCCCTGTGTGACAGGGTTATCTTCCCTGGGGCGTTCGGGAACCATTCCCGTAGAGGTTCTTGCTGCTCGGCATTTGCCTCGCCCTTGGGGCCAGCTGGGGCTTGGGGCTTGGGGCCCTTGTTTGGCCCTGGGTAGGGACTGGTATTGTGCTGGTTAGGGCGTCAAGGTGTTGCGCGGCCTGCCACTTAAGCGGTGGCCGGTTCCTGTTGCCTCTGGAGACGGTGTACTTTTGCGGGTTTTTTCTTCTGTTTTTATTTTCTTTTGCCTGGTGGGGGTCTGCCTAGTGTGGCTAGTTCCACTGGTAGTGTTTGGTGGCCCTCTGCTAGGCCCCTGTGATTGTACACGTCGCAGGGGTTTTCAGTGTTATACTCTACCCTTTGTAAATTTTGGGCGTTTAACCGGTTAGCAATACGTTGCCCGGGCTTCCCGTAGTTGTTACCCCTATGGGCCCAGGAAACCCCTGTCGGGGCTTGGTGGGCCACTGAATGTGTCTTCCGGGTTCCAACCCGTCTTGTACGGGATCGTTGGTTGCTGTGCCCTTGTCTCCGGGTGACAGTCGCCACTTTTACCTCAGTTATGCTGCCTGTTGGGTCACTGACACCTTGACCCGGAGTCTTGCGAGAGAGATTCTCTGCTTGTTCTCCAGTACTCTCCTGATGTTATTACTGTTCCAAGTACAGCCGGCATCTGTGTTGCAAGCTAGGTTAGGTTGCTGCAACACGCTAGGTTGGTTTCCCACTCAGATGCCCCGGGGCTGCCGCGCTTTGGTTAGGTGCTGTTCGCCCCTTTCCCTCCCTGTTCCTGGCTCCGGACCGTCTGCGGGTTTCAGGGTCGGGGCAGGGTTTAGTTGGGGCTGAGACTCGGGCGGTTTTCGGGGGCTGCCCCATTCGGGTTGGGGACGGAGGTTTTCGAGCCTGTTCCTCCTGCCAAGGCTTCTGGGTCTTACCAGCGGTCCTTTCTTGCTGCCTTTCCCGCGGACTCTTCCTTTTCTTTAAGGGTGGAGGGCTTGGAGGACGGCTCTGGCCCGGGGCCTCTGTTGCGGGTTCCCGGGGCTGTGTAGGATGCCTGCTAGCGGTTCTGGGGCTGTTTGCCCTTGCCTGGGTTTTCTGCTTCTGGGCTGAGTTTTTCACTCATCCAGTCTGCTTGCTTCCCACTTTTGCTGGCGTGTTTTTGTATCTTTTGCATCAGTCACAGCCCTCTGTTCTGGTGGCCATTTTATTCTGCCGGTTTCCTGGCGTGGCCACCAGGACGGTGTTGCGGTATGTTCACATGCGCCTGGGTGTGCAAGCGAGCGTCTTGGGTGAGTTTTAAACCTTTTTCAGGGGTTTTATTCTCCTGCTGTTGTTTCTTTGCTTTTCTGGTGTTTTCTGCCCGTTAACTGTCTGGGAACGTTTGAGTGTTGATTTTACACCGGGTTTTCTGTTTCGTCTGTTTTGGGTTTGGGCTCAGTGTCCCTGTCTGTTATGCTTGCTCCCACACCTTGTCCCTCGGTTTTCGGTCTGTTTTAACCGGTTCCCTGGGGGTTCTGTCTGGGACTGTGCTTTGCCTTTCTGTGGTGTATCTTCGCCAGCAAATGTGGTGGTTTGGGCTTCCCCGGGTTCAATTCCGGGTTCCTGTGGGTTCTTTGGTTTCATTCTGGAGGTTTCTTCCTCTTGGGCCCCCTTTGTGGGTTAAGGGAGCTTTATTTCCTCGTGTGAGACCCAGTTCTGCCTTCTGGGGTTCCGGGGTCTTCCTGGCTTGCAGACTGATCATTTTGGGTCTTGGCACGTGTTGTGGCCATGCTGGGACTTTGGGGTTTTGTTGTCGAGGTGAGCCTTTTGATGCAGTTTGTGCCTTCTTCGCCTGGCCGGCGTGGTGCTCTCTGCCCACAGGTCGGCGGCTTGTAATTTTCTATTCACTGAGTGTGTGTGCACATGTGTACACCGTGTGTGTGTGTGCACATGTTTACACTGTGTGTGTGTGCACATGTGTATGTGTATACGCTCGTATGTGTAACATACCTTATGTGTATGTGTATATGTATGTGTAGGTGTATATACATAATATATATGTATATATGTGTATATGTGTATGTATACTTTTTCTTTCGGAAGGGGCTCTGTTCCCTTCTCTGTTGACGGGGCACTGGGGAAGCAGCTTGCTCTGCTAACTCTCGCATGGTCCTGCAGTTAGTGGGCGCTTTTGGTTGTCTTCCGGCCTCTGGTGGTGGCGGTAGACGGCTTCTTCCCCTTTGGGGGGTTCAGGGCTGGCGGGGTGGGCTTCTTCCCCTACGCTTCGTTGTGTCATCTTCGTGGGTGCATTGGACGTGGTCGATCCGCCCCATCCTTCTGGGGGTTCCCGTTTGCTCTATGCAGACATGGGCCTGTCGAATCCGCGGTTCTTCTGGACTTCTTCAGTCTGCGCCCTGGATTCTATGCCCTCATCGGAGGACAGTTGTCTCCTGTCCGGTTTCTGTTGGGGCCGGGTGCCTGGATGGTGGCCCTGGACCTCCAGGTCAATTCTTGGCATGTTCCTCTCCAGTTTTCCGGGACTGGCACCATTGGTGGTGGGGCTTCAGGCTTACCGCTTTTGTTCCCTTCCCTATTTTGTAATTGGCACTTGGTGTATTTACGCATCTTTACCGGATCTTGGTGCCCTGTCTGAGTCTGCTTGGGATTCGGTGTCTGGCATACCTCGACGACTGGCTGGTGTGGGCTCCCAGTCGGTCCGCTTGTCTGCTCGCCAGGGGTGTGGTTCTTTCTAGATCGCAGAGTTTGGTTTCCTGGTGATCTGGAGGCCGTTCCATTTGTTTCCGTCCCGGGTTCGGACCTGGCTGGGTCTTGGTTAGGGCTCTTGGGCCACTCCTTGTCTTTCCCTCCAGAAGTGTTGCTACGGCTGTGGTCCCACCTTCGGCTGTTCATGAAGGGGTCTCGGGTTGCTCGGCGGTTGCTCGAGCAGTTGTGCGGAGTCTGAACTTCGACATGCTGGTCTGCCCGCAGGGTCGGGTTTGGCTTCAGCGTCTGTTTGGTTCCTTCGGAGACTCCCCTTCCGCCTCTCTTGCAATCAATGGGTTAGTTCCTCCGGGGATCTTGTGTTGCTGTTGCGTCACCAACTTCCTGTTTGGGGTTTTCGGGGTTCCGTGCCTTGGCACCTCCCCGAGCCTTAGTTCGATGTGTTCACGGACGGGTCATCTCTCGGCTGGGCTTTGTGACCACTGCTCACCAGGTCAGCCGGGGATTGTAGGGTCTGTCCGTCCGTCGGGCTAACAGCACAGTTCGGGAGTTCGTGGCTGTCTGGTTTGCACTTTGGAGGGTTTAGGTCACTCAGTGCTCTACCATTCACCTCCATTCGGACTGTTCCGAATGGAGGTGAATGGTGGTTCTTTGCTGGAACCACAGGGTTTCTCTTGGGTGTTTGACCTTTGGGGTTGGTTCCTTGGAGTAGCTCGTTGGCTGGATTCTCAGGGTTTAGCTAACCGCGAGGTTCATGTCAGGGGTGTGTCCTGGGTCTTGGCAGACAGCTGTTTCGGTTCACTCCTCTGTTCGCAGATTGGCCAGTCGTCGCCGACTCGTTTCGTTGGCTCTGCCGGACGTATGGACTCCTGGCCATGGACGTCTTCGAGTCGGCGTGGTCTAGGCGTCGCCCATTTTATGTGGTGCCCTTGCCCGTCTGAGAGGCATTCACAGTGGATGCCTTTCGGTAGGACTGGTCGAGGTGCGGTACCTGTTCCTCTTCTCCCGGTCCAGCTGTTTCTTCGGATTCTGGCTCGGTTCGAGCCAATTCCCACGAGAGTAGTCTTTGTGGTCCCATGGTGGCCGGCCCAGCTTTATTTTCAGACGCTGCTTGATAGGTGTCCAAAACCCAAAGGCTTTTGCAGCTGTGTTGGCGACGTCTAGGGCTCATTTCGGGCGCAGGGATTTGAGGGTCGCACAGGTTCTTGGCCGCCTATTCTTTATGCGCGTCTGCTCCTGTGCGTTCTTGTTGCCTTGGGTCGCAGGTTGCAACCTGTTGTCTAAGCTTTGCGTTGTAGAGTTTGTGGCGGCCGCCTCCCGGGTTCGCGCTTTCTTTTCCTCTCTTTAGGTATGAAGCTCCAGG